AAATGGCTTAGAAATAATACTACTTGTTAATTCAGTGTTAATAATTAAATAAATGGGATAGTCATCAATTTTTGCATCACAATACAATGCTTTCACAGCTTTTGGGTTAATTGGTTCAATTTGTTCAGGTAGAGAAGATGTTAATTTAGAGAGATTTGAAAGTATAGGGGATTCTTGACCCTTCTTAGGTCCTCTTAATCTTTTAAATAATGGTTTATTTGCTTCACAACATCAGCAAAGTCCTGTATAGAAAGATTGAGCCATTAATTGCAGTTGTTGGATTGGTTGCTAAAAGATGATTGGTTGTTACTAAATCTATTTTCATTCATTGAATTGTTGGTATTCCTTTGAGAACATTGGTTGGTCAAGTGTCCAGGTTAGTTGCAAATAAAACATCTCCTTTTATTATTGTTATTGTTGAACTGATTCCTATTGTTATTATTATTATTGTTGTTGTAGGATCTTCTAAAGTTATTGTCATTGTTCTCATTGTTGCCATTATTGTTGTTGCAATATGACCTACAGTCGTATTACAAGTGTCCAACTTTTTCACAGTTGTTGCAGTTGTGAGTTTCCCTTTAATTTTATCTCCTATTATTGCTATTAATATTATTGTTACCAGTATACCTTCTATTATTTAAAGTAATCAATTTTTGAAATCCTTGAGAAAGCCAAGTAATTGCTATTTTAATATCCTTAAGTTCATCAGCATCCTGATTTAAGTAATTGCATCTCAAAGAATAGACACTCAAAGTAGAATTCCTAGAGTAGACTGATTCAGTAGCATGAGTTTGGTTAATAGCTTCAGTCAGATTAAGAGAACAAGAAATTTCAATTGGTTCCCTCAATTTATTCCTTAATCTATTGATAAATTGCCTGGTTTTATCCTCAAGAGAGTAGTTATTGTCAGGATCAATACACTTGTAAAGAAAAGTTATTGACTTTAGATATTTATCCACTGTTTCTCTGGGTTTTGTATTCACTACCTTAATTGATTCATCCACCTTGATTTGTGATGAGTAGTACACCAAGTTGCACAGAATTGATGTACAAAAAATTCAGCTGAATGTGTTGCATTGTCCCAGTAATTAATTTGGTATTCATAGAAGACCACCAAGTATGTGTAATTCTTTTGAAGTAAGAGAGAAGTATTTCAAATTTGCGAAGTTTACTGATATAATTTGTCTTGTATCCTTTATCAAATTCATTGAGCCAAGTAAGAGAATCTTGTTCTCCTCTTTTGAAGATTGATATGTTTATTAGTTTTGTTTCTCTTTGGTTGTTATTCCTTGGTGCATTCATTTCAACAATTGATTCAGAAAGTTGTCATAGTATATTGATAAAATTTTGATCATTATTTTGCCTATAATTATAGATAGATTGATTTTGTCACTTGTTCCTTTGCTTATTCCTTTGCCTTTGGCCTAACCTATTTTGTATGGTAGTAGTTGCTATTCATCCTCTCTATTGTTTTGATAATTGTCATTGTGCTCCTCCTATTTATTACTTTCCTCATTATCATTTGACCTTGTGGGGGGTACCTATTTCAAGGTTGATTCAAGTTATAAGGATGGCCTGCTTAATCCCAAGGGTCCTGAAAAATATTATCTATTGCCAAATTATAAGGTAATAGAGAAGAATAGATTACATTGTATTGATTGTGATTAAAAGTATTCAAAGAGTGGATTGGAGAAGAAGAAAATGGAGTTTCAAGAGAGTATTCTGGATAAGTAATTGCAAAATCCAGCAATAGTTTTGAAATCCAGTTATCAAAGTTATTATTCATTCAATTGTCCTTTCAAGAAAAATTAATCCTGTCAGATATTTTTTTTGGAGAGCAGGGTCCTGTTATCATTACCAAAATGTGATCAAATTTATGTTAAATCGATATATCCAAGTGAAATTGCTTTTAAAAGGACAATTCCCAAAGAAAGAATTAAAGATATAGTTTATAATAAAGAAATATTCAAGAATAGATTTATCAAGAATCCTTTAAACAGTGTTACAGTGTTTTACAAGAAATATAGTTCACTCAGAACCCAAGTTTATTAATAAATCAGAAAGCTAGAACAATTCCTTTAGTCCTAAAATCAAAAGAAAATATCCAATCTTCAAGAAATCAAAATAAAGTTATTCCTAAACTTTCAAAGTCAAGTGAAGTTATTATCAAACTTATCTTACTTTTGAGCGAATTATGACTACTTATATACTTGTAAAAATGGTCACTTGGATCTCCTAGATTTTCTGGGCTGCCTGATCTATGATAAATTATGTCACATGTTATATTTGATAAAGTGATCTAATTAAGTATCAATAAGAATATCAAAGAATATCAAAGAAATAATTATAAATAAGCAAATAAAAATGAAAATAGAATGAAGATCATAACTAAAAATAACCATCAAATGGTATTAGAGACTATTTTTATCCCAATGTGTAATTTCAATATAGTTATCAACGTAATAGTGGATCAATCCTATCTACTTACAAAACAACTCCAATATATAGAAAAATTGAAATAGACTTCTTTAACTTTCTAAAAGACTAGAATTATATAAATATCCAAAACTTTTAAAAAGAAGAAGGGAATATCCCCTTTATCTATTAATATGAAAACATATATAATTACAAGTTATTGTATATATTTAAGTACTTTTAATTTGAAAGAATAAATAATATATTAGATAGATTTTTGAATAAATTTAATATTCAAAAATTGAATTCTAATAAATTTTTAATCTAGGTTTATTATCTAATAATCATCAAAATATTAAATCCAAATTAATGTGAAAATTGATAAATAATTGGCAAATTATTAATTTAATTATATTTTATTTTAATAATCAGGAACTTGAAATTTTAAATAATTGATCAAACATCTACTTAATTTTTGAATCAAATTGATTTTTGGTTAACAAGTTATATTAATTTTTAAATAATATATATAATATTCACGAAACAATTATAAATAGATCTGAAAATTTTTCAGGTGAACTCTTGCATCAAAAAAATCAAATTTAGAGATATTTATTGAAATATTAGATCTATTAATCAAATATTATAAAGTATTTTATGTAACTATGAACTTTTGGAAGTCATTTATAAAAGATAATGAAAATTTGATAATTATTTGAAATAGAACAAATCAATATAATAGATATTGAATTGAGAATAAAATATTTAATTCTATTATATTTTTACAAAATATTAAAAACTTATTTATATTATACAATTTATAAATTATAATAGAAATATTGATTTATATTTGGTACAAGTTCAATTTTTTTTTATACATTTAGTAAACTTTTTAAATAATGTTATTGAATATTAATTGGTTTTTATTTGATAATATAAATCAGTTAATTTGATAAAAAATAGATTTTATTTTGGATTTGAAAATAATGTAGATATTGAATTATAAAATATTAAATTTTATCAAGTTAAATATGAATGCATAATTCCTATTTATAATATTTTTGATTGATTTATTTTATTTTTATATAGAATCTCAAATTGATAAGATTTTCATAAATATTTAACTATAGTTTTTTTAAATTATAAATATAATATATAATAATAATTTAATAAATATATGAATTTTGATAAATGTTTAATGAATTTTTAAGAAAATTTTTAATAAAATATATAGTAAAAATAGTATAAATTATATGGTAAATTATATTAAATTATATAGAGAAATTGATTAATAATTTATTTATATTAAATTATATAGTATATATTGATTGATAATTTATTTATATTATTAATATATTAAATTATTTATTTTTTTGACAAATGTTATACAAATGGTATTATGCTAAATAAACATTTTTTGACAAGTGTAAAAGGCATAAGATAAAAACTTATATTTTAAAAACTCAAAATAATACAGTAAATTAAATTTCTTAAACAATGTATAGTATAATTTCAATAATAAATAAAAGCTTTTTAGATAATTCAAAGCTTAAGAATATTTCAATAAAACAAATTCTTTTTGAGAAAATAAACAAGTAAATTTTTAATTGTTTGTTTTCTTTATTATTTTTTTTTTCTAGTACATTAATTTAATAATTCATTATTTTTAAAATAATGATGTAATTATTTATTTATTTAATTAAAACCAATTAAACAATGACATAATCAATTATTTAATTAATTAAAATTAATTACATTATTGCATAATTAATTATTTAATTAATGACATAATTAAATTAATTAATTATGATATTATATAATTAATCTAATTATTAATTTACAAATAAAAATTTATAGGCAATAATCCTGATAGATAGAGGTTCTAATACCAATTTATCAGGAAAATAAAATATTGTTTCTTAAATCTAACTTAGACTATCTAATCGAGACTTTGTTTTGTTTAATTCAAACTAGCTTAATGAACTTCTAATATTTTTTAAGTAGTATAATCCTTCAATTAATAATGTACAAGATGAGTTAATCGTCATATGAAAGTCCATGTAACATTGCAGATGTTTATTTAATATCTCAATAAAAGGCACACCATAATGGTATAAAAAAAATTATAGTTAATTTTTTTATACTGTAGTTAGTTGATCTTTTAATTTTCTCGAAGTGGTGAACTCAAAAATAAAGCATATAATATCTGATCCATAGACTTTAAATGAAATGTCCACTTCGTATAATGATAGCCCACTTCTATTCGAGTCTATTGTTTGACAATGCTATAGAATATCCATCTCCTTATATGTAATGTTTAAAATCTTATTGTTAAAGTAGTATAATTAAAGTTGCGAATCATTTAATGTAGACTGTCCAAGAATCCAATCTATCTCAACTAATCATTCAAACGAATTAGAAAGATACTTTGTAAAGTCTGATTTAAAATCCTGCTAATCTAAATTGGCAAAACATGCATAAATATTTTACTATACATCGGGGAAAAGGAGAATTTATCAGATATCATTTATATTATATATATTTTTCGGTTATTCTTTTTGAGACCTGTCATCTAATATTCATACTCATTGATTATAAGGCTCTAGCATCGCCAACACCTTGTGAAGATTTTCGACAGCAGTTTTAACATCATTATAATTTAATGCGCTAATGACCCATTTGCAATGCTTTTGAGCCTGAGCTACAGTGCTTGGATCAATTTCGGAATAATTTTGAGGCCTTTGATGTGTATGGGGACGGAATTGTTGACCGTGAGGAAGAGACCCCGAAATCTGAGGCGGTTGATAAGTAACAGGGCTGATGTTTTGACCATAATTTGGTGGCAGTTGCGAAGAATAAGTTTGTACTGAAGGAGGTTGATGATGCAATAAGTCATTATTATTGAATCCTGGTGGCGTGTCATAAAATGTTTGCGTCGTTGGCATTGATGAATTAAAAGATGATAACACTGGTGGTGGTTGATTAAATTTATCAAACGTGCTGCTAGGGAATTCGCTAATCTTCGGTGGGAGAGGGGGTACTATTGGTTGATTTATTGAATCAATCTGGTCTAAAGAAGAACTCAAATCTTTTACACTGGGGAACGAGTCTGGATGAGGTGTAAAAGCAGGTTGAGGTTGCTGATGAAAATCAGGATTTTGTACAGAGGAAAATGATGGAAAAGGATTCTGACTGTCTTCTGGTAGAGGTTCTATTTTCAACCCATTTGAGAATGGTGCAGAAGGGAATTGATCAATACCGGGAACAATTTCAGAAGAATGAATACCCTCAAAATTTTCCGTTGTTGGTGACTGAGATTTTGCATCACCTCCAGGAGGACCGGGTATCGGAGTTTTTCCGTCTCTCAATGATTTGGTAATATCGGTTGCTTTCCATTTTGCGTATTTGATTTTTTCCTCGTTCTAAAATAAAAGAAAATAAGAAACTTCTAAACTTTTTAAAGATATGAGCAATTAATTTATATATTTATTTACCTCAGGGTTTAATTCTCCAAATATTTTAAGTAATTCTAAAAAAATTGAAGCTGCAAGAAAATTCTTTGCAGTTTTCCTGTATATTTTAAGAAAAGACATTATTTCAAGCTTAAATAAATATTTGATTTGTAATAAGAACTCACTAACTTTGATGCCTTCCCGGCGCGATCTTCATTATCTGCATTCAAGAAAATCTTTAATCCAAAGTTCTCAACATATGCTTCGCCGGCTGTATCATTCGTAACCATTTCACCAATACTTTTTTTCTCCTAAGACGTTAAGAGTAAGAAAATGTCTTCAATGATCAACTTCCAAAAATACTCACTTGTTCCAATATATCCAGCAGCTTCGCGAGAAAAGCTTTACTTTCATTGGTCTTTAAGCCTTTTTCAAGAGCGAGTTTTGCGGAGTAATATTTGCCTATTCGAAAACAAAATCACGTAAATTAACGTGATTACGAGGTAGAATCTCTATACCTTCCTAAGCAATATCTTACAATAATATGCTATTACTGGTTCTCTTTGTTGAAGTTCCTGCGCACGCTGAAGGAACGTTTTAATAAATTTAAGTTCTTCCGGAAGTGGTGGTAAAGAAGCCATTGAAAAGGTAAAAATGTAAGTATATAACAATTTTTGCAACTATTTTTATGCATTTACTCATATGCATAATGACGCAATTTTAAAAAATAGCTAAGTTATTTTGTCTTCTAATCAAAAATCATTTTATTATAGAAAAGAAAGTAAAAAAACATTTGTTTTTTTTAAAAAGATTGAAATATATATTTTTAATTTAATTATTTTATTTTATTTTTTTTTTATTTTTGACAAGTTAGGTATTAAATATCTGTATGCTATATATTATAAAATATTTTACTAAAATAATCTTTATCTAATTTATTTATTTCTATTTTGTATTTTTTTAAATACAATTTCAGAAATGGTTTATTAATATATTGATAGTTCAAATAAAAATCCTTTTGACTATTAATATTATTGTCTATAGATTACTATACAAGGTTTTAACAGAACTCAAAACTTTAATAAACTCTTTCCGCTGATCCTCTAATCACACACAAAAAAGATATTCGCAAGAAATTTTATACTTCTTTGCTAATAAAGTCTTTACACTTTCATTAAAACAACTTGAAGCTTGTGTTCATGTATCTCTTTTACCCTCCTTTACTTGTTTATAAACTCCTTTGAATAAAAACTTGAGTCTCTAGTGGCCTGAAAAAACTCAAGTACGCACTTCCTCTACTAAGGGCAAGAAGGTTCTAAGAAGTAAAAGGACTGACAAGTGGAGTGTCACCTTATAGAGCTAGAAGTGACAAGAAATAGAGATTTTGTTGGTAGAGGAAGGCTTATTATTCACCTTCTCACATACTGTCTTGTACTCTCTTAAAGTGTCTACTGTTTTTCACGGTTTTCTTAAAGGATTTTGCCTACCTCAGTTTGACCCTGAATTTCTGGTAGCACAATATCATCTGGCATCGGATTGGTTGACACGAAACACATTAGTAACTAAATGTAAACAAGCTTCTATTGGCCACCTTATGTGTTCTGATGACGTCATTGGTGATAGAAAGAGTTGATTGATGCCACATGTTTACCCACTCCTTCAATTGGATTAACCTACAGATCAAGTTTCATGAGGCCAATAAGATATGAGCAACAAGTCCCCAGGTGGTGAAAAAGCTGCTATTTATTCAAGCTGAGGTCTTTCTCTCCTATCATTCTGGTCAGGTAAAGTTTAAGACAAAGGTCTCCCTCTTATCCCGGTTAGGCAATAAGACCGAATAGTCTCTAGTCCATGCTAAGCTCCAATCCTTTGGTTACAGTTGAAAATACATTTTCCCAGAAGTTATTGAAGGATATCGCAATCGACGAGGATCCCCACTGCTCTTCTGGTATCCTCCCACCATTGTGAAGCAAAAAGATCTTTGGAGAAAGACTATTTTGGGCAATAGAAGATATACACCAGTAAATTCCTTTAATTAGGCATGGCTGCTGGAAGGTATCATACTGAAACAATATGATTTAGTCCCTACTAGGTTACATAAGAACCTGGGATTCATCACAAGTCATCTGTCTATCGCAGGTGGTTAAAAAATCATTGTCCAAAGAAGGTTGGGACCAAGTG